TTCTTTACTTTTAAACCTATATTAATGGTTAACACAGGTATAAGCGCATTCAGGGGCGTGGTATATGCGCCTATATAGTATAAGGTTATAGATGTGGTAATGTTATGATAAAAGGTAATAATTCTGAGCATTTATGAGCATTTAATTGTATAGATAAGAATAAGGGAACAGATGTATTGTGATGAGTCTGGTTGTTGTTGTTCGCAGGTTGCATCCTCTAGTAGGGAAAAGTGAGGGGAAAGATAACCTAAAACGTAACCTGCTAAACTGCTAATTACATAAGGTGCTTACGTAACTGTACGTATTACATAATCAATGTCATAGTTATAAGTTATAATAAATCAAGTATTTTTATATAAGGGTTTATACCTTAAACTTTATTAGTTTATTTTATATAGAGTATTAAAGTAAGTTTAGCGTTATTATTATTCTTATATTATTATTATTATTATAAAAGAATGTTATATGTTAACAGCAATATATTATTAAAGTAGCTATAACTAGAACTTTTATAAATGCTTTTAGAGGAAACCCTCTTTATATTATAATTAAAGTAACAGATAATAGCTTTATATACCTCTATATAGAGGCTATATATTTTTCTAGTTATCTTAAGGAGTAGCCCTTCTTTATATAAGCTTTCTATAATAATAAAGCAGAGGTAGCTTAAGTTTAAGCTTAGTAAGGCTTAAAAATTAATAAGTATATTTTATACTAAATAGAGAGAGTATTACTAATAATACTATAGCTACTATAAAGGCGTTAGCTAACCTAATTAAATAAGAAAACTATAATAATAGTAATAACTTACTTCTAAAGAAGCTACTATAATAGATAATAAAATAGTAATAGAAATAATATTTAATAATAGTATAAGTAATATATAACAGAGAGAATAGGTTAATAGTTTAGTAGTTAGTAATTAAGTAATTATAAACTATGTTATTACTAAAGTAAAGTTAAAGATTATGAGGTTATTAACTAATATATATATATAAGTATAGCTGAGGTTAAGAGAGGTAGTTAGAGATTATAATTATATAACTAAAGGCTATATATATTATTAAGAGGCATAGAGTTAAGAGGTTTATTGCTCTAAGTAGGTAAAAATCATAGTAAATAGCTAGAGGCTATATATATTATTATAGTAGTATAAAGTTTTATTTTATTTACACTAAAATATAGCTAGCTTTTTAAAGATATTTTTAAGGTTATTAATATAGCTATAAATCTAACGCTTAAGAGACGTATAAAATAACTTGATAATTAATATTATAATATAGCTAAAATAAGTAATCTAATTAGTTTAATATACTACTAGCTTTTTAAATTAAAGATAATCTATATAGAGAGAGTATAGTTAACTATAATATTGAAGTAGTTAGTATTCTTAAAAGTAGCCTTTTATTAGTTATATATATTTAGTATATTAAAGTATAATAAGTTGTTTTAGTTTTTAATAAATTAAGTAAACTGTAAGTAATATATAAATATATTATTAATATTCTTTATAGTATAAAAGAAGTAATACTTTATTTTTATAAGAATATTATATTAATATATTAGTAGTAAAAGAGGTATAATATATTATAAAAAGTAAGGCTAGTATTAAGCGTTTTAATTGAAGTAAATGTATAATTAATATAAATAACTTATAAATATTTAATATTATAGTCTTTAAATAAGTTACTCAAAGTATTAACTACTTATTTATTATTATACGTTTTTTTACTAAATAGGAAATAAAAAGCTATTTAGAAAGTATTACTATTATTAATAGTACTATAAATATTAAAAAGTAGTATATTAAAGTAGTTAGTTTTATATTTTAAATCTATTAATACGATATTAAAGCAGTATTTAAAGTAAATAATTACTCTATATAGCGCTATAAAAAGAGTAGTAATATGGTTTTTAAAGTTCTATTTATAGTAATATTAATATTAAGAGGAGTTTTATAGTTAGTTAAAAAGCTATTTAATTAATATATAGCTAATAAGTTTTATATAGTAATAACGCGCTAAAATATTTATTATATCATAATAGCTAATAATATTAAATTTAAAGCTTTTAATATATAATAATATAAATGTTTAAATAGGTTAAATACTATATTAGCAGTCTGGTCAACCTATATAAGTAGGTATCGCAGTTCACTCTATACTTTTTTTCACAGTACTAAAACTTAATAGTAGCACTTTGACTTATACTTAATCTTAATAAAGTAAACAAATAAATCTCAGTATAACTAGTTATTAATATTTAGCTTAACTTATCCCTAGTAGAAAAAGGTAAGTAAGTAGGCAGTAAAGCAGTAAAAGATACTAATAAAAGCGTTATTTATAATATTATAAAGATATTATCTATAATATAATGAGAGGTTAATAATAGCTTAAATCTATACTTAAGGGTATAAACTTAATAATATAACTTTTTATGTAGTCTAAAAAGTTCTTATAGTTATAGTAAAAAAACTTAACTATTTAAATAAAGCCTTAAACTTATTCCTTATATCCTCCTATATATATAGTAACTGTAATAACTTTCTTATTTTTCTTATTTCTTATAACTCTATATGAGCTAAATAAAGCTATACTAGATAACTTAATCTATAAAACTAACGTTAATAAAATTAAGAACTCTAAATATAGCGACTTTCTCTTTACTAAGAAGAAAACTCTCCTTAAATTCGCTTAGAAGTACTTACTTAAGATAGCTAACGAGAGCGATATATTAGAGTTATATAGCCTTAAGATTAATATAGATATAGTTAAAGTTATTAATAACGATCTTAATACTTATAATTACTTCACAGGCTTCCTCGAGATAACTAAAGCAGCCTAATTAGTTAGTAAGTTAGAAAGGGCGAATATGTTAAGAGTATAGCTAACGGCGGCAGGGCTATTGAGACTACGCGGCAGGGCGGAAGATATTATCTAGGCGTAGACGTCTGAACAGCAGAGGAGACTTTAACGGAAGACGGGCGTGGATCGAATATAGCGTAGGAGATAAAGGAGACTGATAGAGATAGAGGCGGCTAGAGGAAGACAGTTGAGGCTTATGATGATGTTTGAAGTTGGAGGAGCGTGGAGGCGAAGAAGATGTCTAAGTCTACAGTCATGTAACCTGAAGGTCGTTAGCAGAGGGCGAGGGGACCAGTCTAGCTTTCGCAGTCAATACCAGTCAAATTTCATAATATAAGGCCAGCGGCCTAGGTTTAATACTATAGTTCTAAAGATATATAATTTGAGAAGTAGCTACTTTAAAAAGAGGTTTATATAACTTATAATAAGAAGTAGTACTAAAGAATTTATAGTAATAATAGTTATAGTATTTAATTTAATGAAGTTATTTTTCTATTATATATGTAAAATAGTTATTATTAATAGAGTTATACTAAATAACTACTTATTATAAGTAAGTAAAAGTATAAAAAGAGATTTTTTGCTATTTTAATATATAAATAATCTTTTACTATTTATTAATTTAAACACAATTATAATAAGGTATATAAATATACTAAAAGATAATCTTATACTTATTACTATACCATTTAATATACATAACTTATATTTAGAAGTTATTAATAAAACTAATAATAAATAAAGTATTTTTAGCTACTTCTCCTAAGAAATATCTTTTATTAAAAATAAAGTTATAGTAAAGTATATTTCTATAGTTATTATAATTAATAGTATGAATATAAATAGGATTAAAATTAATAATAATAGTGATAATATTATTATTACTACTATTTTTATTAATAGTAGAGAAGTTAAAAAGGATAAAATTAGTAGTAATAATACTAATGCTAGAAGTATATATTTTAAGTTCTTTTTTTTTTAAACTTAATATATTTTTATAATAATATAGTAATAACTTTAAAATTAGTTAGTAGTAGTAATAATAAAGTTAGATTAATAGGATGTACATAATAGTACTAAAAATTAGTAGTAAGTAGGGTAGAAGGCTAGTATTAGAGTCTAGGTAAAATTAAGCCATAATGGGGGCGCGCCGCGGAGCGTGGCCTATACGGATAAGTCTAAGGCAAGGCGGCTGTTGATGAGCAACGGTAAACACAAGTTAGAGCAAAAGCACAGAGAGACGAGCAGCAGAAGTCGGCTTGTCAGCGAACAAGGAAGCAGATGTCCGGACTAGAGTGCTAGGTAAGGACAGAGGCCCCAAAGCAAGCACCGTCGAAACAGAAGGCGCGAATCACTCTCAGGAAAAGGGGGTCCATCCCCACTCCACTCTCCCGAGCTGCACGGTGCAAGCTTGAGCAGGAGCAGTTTGGGATTGGACAGATGGAAGCACTGATTGGATCAAGGTGGATTGGCACCCTCGAGTTCCCCGGAAGCAACGCACGGGGCACTCGGCGGTTCGATAAGGTACGAAGTAAGGAAGGCAGGTATCTGAGGTGAAGGAGCAATGGATGTGAAGTAACAGACCGGGCAGACAGTGTACCTGCCTATGCCACCCATACCTGTCACTTCTTTTGTTGCGGGCTGCTCATGCTGCTACGGGTGCTGTCGTATCAACTGTAGCCTGGGAAGTCATGTAGAATGGGATCAAGAGCAGAGACAGAGTAGGTAAGGTACCTTGCCTTACGGTAGCAAGGTCCCATGCCGACGTGATGATCGTGGTGGTGGTGTGGTTTGTTTGTTGCTGCCACTTTCCGTGCGTTTCCTTCATTAATAGTACTTACCCAAGCTATTCCGCACCTCCTGCCTCCGCCGCCCTGTTATTACCCAAACCCTTTTTTTTTTCCCCAAAGGAAGAGGGAGAAAAAAAAAAAGACACCCCAACGCGCACTCACTCAGCACACGGCACACACCTCAGGCAGCTTAACGCGACTTGCAGGAAGAGGGGCGGTAAACCTTTTTTATTTTTAATTTTAATTTCTTTCCGTCCTTGTACAAAAATACAGCCAGGAGTTGTCACTCGGTTTACACACGCGCACACACTATACAGATCACATTCTCACGGATTTTTCTGTCGCCATGTCTGCTCAACCTGCAAACGACACGCCTGCTGCCGCGGCGGCTCCTGCTGCTGCTCCCGCAGCGGCTGCTGACGCTCCTGTTGCTGCTGCTGCCGGTGCTTCTGCTCCTGCTGCCGATGTTGCTGCTGCGGCTCCCACCGCTCCCGCAGTCGCCGCTGCCCCTGAGGCCCAGCAGCAGAAGACTGAGGACGCTGCTCCTGCTCCGGCCTCCCAGGCTACCGAGACGAAGCCAGAGGAGAAGAAGGAGGAGAAGCCCGCTGCTGCTGCTGCTGAGAAGCCTGCTGAGGAAAAGAAGACTTCTCTTGCCTCATTGTTTGAGAAGCTTCCCGGCATTCTCGAGGCCGCTAAGCACAAGGAGATGTGGGGTGTCCAGCTCTCTGACAACACTCACGTCCCGACCACTGTTGTCCTCCAGAAGTTCTTGCGCGCCAACGACGATGATGTCGCCAAAGCCGCTGACCAGCTGCAGAAGGCTCTTGAGTGGCGCCGCGATACTAACCCCGGCAAGCTTCTCGACGATGTTTCTTTCGACAAGAAGAAGTTCGATGAGCTCGGTTATGTGACCACCCACAAGGACACCGAGGGCAAGGAGATCATCATCACTTGGAACATCTACGGCGCTGTCAAGGACAAGCAGGCTACCTTTGGCAACGTTGATGAGTGAGTATTGGTCCCATCATATAAGATTCTGATCTCGCCGAGAAAACATCTTAGCTCACCGATTTTGTAGATTCATCAAGTGGCGTGCTGCTCTCATGGAGCTCAGTGTTCGCAAGCTGGGCTTGGACAAGGTCCAGACCCCCATTCCCGAGGGTGGCGAGGACCCCTACCAGATGATCCAGGTCCACGACTACCTCAACGTTAGCTTCTTGCGCATGGACCCCGCCGTCAAGAATGCCTCTTCCCAGACCATCAAGATCTTTGCCATGGCTTACCCGGAGCTGCTCAACCACAAGTACTTCGTCAACATTCCTGCCCTGATGGGTTGGGTCTTCAAGGCCATGAAGGTGTTCCTTGCGCCCAAGACTGTTGCCAAGTTCCACCCTCTTGGCTACGGATCTGAGTTGGGCAACGAGCTCCCTGCTCTGAAGCAGTCTCTCCCCAAGGACTACGGCGGCAGCGGCGAGAGCATCAAGACCACCGGCCAGACCGTGAAGCTTGCTGATGCCGCAGCTCCTGTTGCCCCCGCCACCGAGACCAAGGCTGCTGAGACTCCTGCCCCCGCTGCCCCTGCCGCTCCTCAGCCGGAGAAGGCCGCCGAGGCTGCCCCCGCGGCCTCTGAGCCTGTCAAGGCGGAAGCTCCCAAGGAGGAGGCTCCCAAGGCAGAGGGCTCCGAGGTCCCCAATGTCGCCGACCTCAGCATCAAGGACGATGCTGAGGCCAAGGAGGCTGGCAAGGAGGAGGCTAAGCCCACCGCTGCCTAAACGGCGGCCTGTCTTCGTTTCCTTTCTTTGTATTCACTTCCTCCGGCTTGACTTTGGGATCGTTGTGGGTTGATTTGCGGTACAAGGAGATTTGGTGGCCTCGCGGAGGTCGAGGAGATGGATACCGCCGTTAGACAGACTGGATTCGCCTTTTCCCGGCTTGGGGTTGGTCTGTGTTTCTCCTTGCGTTCATGCCATAATACCCATCTTGTGTGTGTTCGTGGCGTTTTCCGAAATTCGTTTTCGATTGGAACAGAGATCCTCAGACAGACAGAACTCTTTTAATAGGAACAATCAAACCATGTGATTTACACTCTTTTTCTCCCCTTGTCATTTCAAGGTTTTTATTTTATGGCCCTGCCTGACTCGGTGATTTGTCTGCCGTCTGAAACAGATTGGTGAAGACGCACATTGGTCTTTTTTTGATGGACTTGCTATGTTTAGGCAGACTGTGTGCGATCGAGGTCACAGTGCTGGTGGTGCGCACCCACCTCGTCGACCCGCCCAGGGGGCATCGCCTGAAATCTGACATCCGGAGGTTTGGGTGCCATCGCTATCATTGGCACGACTTCGTCATGTTAGATTCATGGCAGCTTCAACTAGCTGGTTCGATTTATATTGCGGACACGGTCTTCTGAGCAGATGCGAATTGAACCAGCGTGATTCACATATCCATCTCATCACCGGATGGCGTGCTTCTTCGCTTGGGGCATGGCTTAAGGCGGCGTCCGTTTCTGCTGGAGATCACCTGTTTTGACTATGTTCTGCCGTCGTCATCTCTATCTAGTACTATCGCCGCTATCTCTACTTTTATTGACGTCCTTCAGCCTCGAGAATATGTACCTCGAACACGGAAAATATTGTCGCATATGCGCAGTAACGAAGGGCGGTCTGTTCTACTGCCACTGGGTACCCGAGCACTCAGCTAGCTTGCAGGGGCAACGATTCAAATACTGCTGCAAGCCGAGCGAAGCTACCTTGAATCCTATGTCAGATATGATCTCGCCCTCGAGAGTTCGCGCAGGCAACTCTCGTTCGGTAGTAACAATACTGACCTCTCATCTCCCCCATGAGTTTTACCTATATCAAAATATCGAGAATAAGAAAAACAATTGAGAGACGCCTATGTCCTCTGTGCTTGCGGTACTAGATTTTCCATATCCGAGGCGTAGATACTCGGTAAAAGTAGGAATATCGACGATAGTAAAGACGGCCATAGTAGAAATGCAAGAGACGTCACGGGATGTGCAGTCGCCAAAGCACAGCCGATAACAGGTCGTCTCACTATTAAGTCAATGGGCGATAGATAGTGCTTCGTCATGAAGTTGAAACAAGTTTGAGGTCAACATCTCTTGTTGTCCTCATATCCCGTTGAGTCTGCGGTCGAGATGTGCTAATGTGCTGAGTTATTTGACTTCACTCCGCCAGTGGCATTTTGGTGCGAAATCCCACGTCTTGGAGGTCTTACAGCATGCACTCCTTTCATCACTTCGGCCTGTTTTCACCACATGGGTTGTTTGAGGATTCTAACTGCAACTCACTTTTTCAAACTCTTTCCTCATACATGGAATTGAGTCGATGTAGGCAGTTCTCACGGAGCAATCCGTGGCCCGTATTGCACCTACCTTGCAGTCAAGTCGCTTGCCTGTCTGTGTGACTAGGCATCATGGGCGAAAGTCCAAGATTCCCTCTGAAGAGTTGAAATTGAGTCATTTCAATGCAGATATCGCAAGCCCGTGAGACTGAGGTTTTGTTGTGAACGGCTGGTAACTAACATTGTGGTGAATCGACTGAGACTCAAACTAGACAGTGCAACCTGGAGGGCGGCATGCAGCTGGGGCAAAAAGGACGATACGTGCGGGAAGTCCGAGGTGTGGTGTTGTCCATCATGCCTCTATCGGGGCGAGGCTCGGCCAGCACAGGCAAGAGTGGCGCGCCGGCGACAGAGACAGAAAGTAGGAGGTGGTCCGAGGAGATACAAACAGCACAACCAGATAAAACTTGAACATGTTCAACTCGAAACCCAGAAACCAACCACACATGATGCGATGGAAGGCTTTCAACTTATTGAATAAATTCGTTCTCCCCGCAGCATTTTGACTATATACAACTTAAATGCCCCGGGTCAGCCGGGAACTTGGTCAATTGCTGCGTAGTCAGCTGATGGAAGGATCCAATGTTCAACTTGGATGTATATAAGTGGAGGAGGACAGGATAGGATAGGACAAGAGCTGAGGAAGGGACAAGAGGAGACGACAGGAGAGGAGAACGGGGGACAGCCCGAGGGGAGGCACACGCACGAACCGTGGGTTTCTGTTTACCTTTTTTTGTAGAGACCAGGTCGGCGGCCAGATCACGCTTCTCTATGTACCTCGCTCATCCTTCCGTGTCTGCAGTCTCACTGCCCAACCTCATTCTCGTTCGCACAACCATTTGCCATCCGCATCCGCATTTACCTGCTTTGACTCGGCTTTTGACGAAGGACCGGACCTGACAATACTGGCCGCAGAGGAAAGCGAGGCACTTGTAAGGAGAGACCAGACTGCTGCGGCGTATCCGTCCACAATTAAGGTCCTCTCTGACACAGCGCCTACACCTCGCCGCACGCCAGACAAGCCTTCCCGCCCTGGGCCCTCTCGCTCTCTCTTTCTTCGAATAAAGACTGCGTGGTCTGTCTCCTCACCCCAGCAAGCACTTTACCCACCACAAGCACCTCCTGCGGGAAGTCTTCTCACAACCACCGGATCTTGACCACCGTCTCCCACTTCGTACTTCTTCGCTCAACCGCCTTCTTCGTCTTCACTGCTGTTGGATTGCCTCCTCGCACAACCTAGACAGTCTCTCTGTCTGTTCCAGAAGACCGTGACACTTTCACACGAGATCATCGCAAACAGTCGACGAGGAGTAGCAGCAGCAACAGTGCGGTAGCAACGCAAGCAATCAACCGAGAGGACAAGCGGGCGAGCAGTCACATCCGTCAATCAGCTCGCTCCATCCCCCCAACCATCCACGCATCCATCCTCCTCCATCAATCAATCAATCAATCAATCAATTCACATCGGTCGCGTCCCCACTCTCCGCAACACGACACGGAACGTCCCTCAAGCCATCCCGCCTTCCATCAAACCGCTCACTCACTCACATACCGCGTCTCCCACCTCATCTCTCACACCTTTTCGCGCCTCTAGCCGCGCAACCTCTCTTTACTCCCACACATCAGCCCGCTCTTACCACAACCCTTTTTGCTTATCTGGCACGGTCCAGAAAATTTCATCAACCGACAAGCTGCAAATTCAAAACTATTTCTCAACAACAGCCAACCTTTTCAAGTTTCTTGTCTTTGTTGCAGACTCCAATTTTTTCCGCCTTTCCCTTGTCAAACAAACAACAGCCCCCTTTTTTTCTCCCTCAGGGCGCTACTGTTCTTGCACGGTAGCTTCTTCAGCACTTGCAGCACAGAGAGTACCTCGCAGACCAGCTCCGGAGGTTACCTTATTGCCACTCAATGCCCGGCGAGTAAGCTAAAGGGTAGCGAACGAACGAGCCAATTCTGCGTGCCTGCCCGTTTCCGCACCCCTGTCCAATCCAAATCCCTCCTTCCGCTTTTCGTGTCGGGACCTCTGCCACCCCCAACTTTCTTCCACGCACACACCTCATTTTGGAACGCGTCGCAACTCGACTCGAGATACTCTCGAGAAGCTTGTCGACTTTGCCAACGCTCAAAATCGCGTCGAGACTGGGCTTTTCATCCCAATATGTCTCTTTTTCCCAGCGAAAGCGGCTTGTCCGCTGCCGCCACTGATTGCTCTTCCAACATCGCGTCGTCGAGCTCGACACCCCCTACTAGCATCTCCGACGTTGCCAGCCAGGCCTCGGACGGCCCCAAACTCGACGATATGCCCGTCCTCCTCGAGACCGAGACTCACATTGAAGCCCATATCGAGGCTCAGATCGAAATCGCTCCCGAACCTACTATTGCAGAGCCCGCTGCTCCGGTCGAAGAACCTGTTGCACCTACCGAAGAGCCAACACCCGAAACTTCCTCAGAACCGCAGTCTGCTCCCCGTTCACGTCGGTCTTGCTCCGGAAAGGCCGTATATAACTTGTCTCAACTGAGCGGTACCGCTAACCGCGGGCACCGACGCGCCAAAGGCGATGATGTGGCCAGCAGTCGTCGCAGAACCATTTCAGGCGACACACTCGTCAATGGCGAAGCTGATGCCGTCTCTCGTGTTGCTGGCAACCTGATTCGCGACGGGATCGACGCGTTGGACCTTCAATGGTCCGTCGGCGAGCTCAAGGCCCCGCGCGCGAAGAAGGCCAAGACGGAGAAAGCAGAGACTCCCAGGCTTACCCGCCACACTGCCCGCATTTTCAACACTCCTGTCGACTCGCTTGCGACCAAGGTTTCAAGCCTGGGCAAGCGAAGTCGCAAGACTTTTGAGCAAAAGATCACCAAGATGTCACGCGAGCTGCGCCGCCTCCAGGACACGAACGAATTTGCCGGTATCGAGGAAAAGCCCGTGATAAGGACGGTCTGGTCGAACGGAAAGATGGTTATTGTCGATCAAAATGGCGATCCGATCCAGCCCAAGAAAAAGGCCAGGTCTGAGGAGCCGAAGAAGGAGGAGGCAGCAGTGGAGAAGCCTGCAGAGGTTGAGAAGCCCAAAAAGACGAAGCGCACAAAGAAGTACCTCGATCGTGGACTGTATGCTGGCCAAGCGACTCCTGCCGACCTGACCAAGGGTCTGTCGAATGCGGAGCAAAAGAAGCTCGCACAGACTCCCGAACTTCAAGGTTACGGGCGTCCCAACAAGGCGCTTCCGCTGCCCATGTTCAGTGGCTTGCGATTGCTTCTCAGTGGACGCGACTTCAAGCTTCCATTTGATGTCTGCAACCCTCTGCCGCCCGGACAACCGAAGCCTGACGAGTTCAGGAAGATGACGAAGAGTATGTTTCGATTTTGTACGCTGGAGTACTTGCTTATACTAACTTTTGGT